TTAATAACCAAGAAAATGTAATACTTGTGCTACAAAATGTTTCATGTCCTGAGAAATAAGACTGTACTACAACCAATATTTTATGATGCAATGTTACAGCCACAGAAACAATTATATTTTTATGGACTCATTAACTGTAAGTCACTGAACAAGACACAGTCTTAAGAGGTATGTTCTTCCACTCTTCTCTTACATCCTTCCCAAAAAAGGCACTTAAATAGGAGACCTACATCAGTTCACTGGCATTTGTTTTGAGCTATATGAGGCCTGGTCACATAAAAATGAAAACATTTTTAGGCTGAACCTACATGGTCATGAACATCATAATTATTCCTTAATTCTGTACCAGAAATGAATCACCAGTGCCATAACTCATCCCTTTACTTTCTGTCTCTGTCACAGGGAAAGAATACAAATAAATAAATAAAAATAAAAGAGCACTAAGTCTTACAGATCGTTTTGCTTAAGCATATTAATGCTTGGCAGGGATTGGGAGTGGGGGCAGTGAAGGGAAGGGAAATCCTTCATTCCTGAAGAGCAGAAACTACATTTACATACCATACAAAAATATTACAAATAGGAAAGGAGAAAGAAATGGCAATTAAAGTTTCCTCTTTTATGACTTATTTGCCCAATTCTTTCAAATACTTCAGCACACACAGTTCTACATATAAACTGTTGCAGTCTCTGGGTAAACTGAAAACTATAAAGTGATCTCTGTTCCCTCCCCCCGCAAAAAAAAAACAACTGGGAAAAAATACTGAAATTGTAACCCTGGAATTTAGCAGTAGGAAGAAAGCCAGACCTGTGTTCTCTGTCTCAGTTTATTTTTACTGAGCAGCTGTGATTTTTTAAAAAGCTCCAAATGGCTTCTGTCTTTCACTTACAGAATTCAAGCCAGCATGTTTCCAACTTGAAATCTCATCTCCAATAACCTAATGATAGAATCATCATATCAATGACTGAATAGTTAGGAAAGAACAATTTCAATTTAAAATACAGTAATAAAAAGAACCCAGGAAACATCTTGATCAAGAAAAAAGACATCAGAGCTGACATGCTACAGCTAAGCATACAACCAACTCTGCACACAGAAAATTTAGGTGTCAGCAGACTAACCTTCAGTAACCATAAATTTCCATAAACAGAATATTTAACAGACTATGATAATCTCTGTCACACACTGGAGATCATAAGCTTTCTCCACCCATTATGACCCCTTTTCCTAGAAGGTGGTTTTTAAACTATTTACTCTTGATGATTAATAAATATCTCAAAATAAAACACATCTTCATTTCAGGATTTTTTCATTTCAACTAAAGTAAGACCACTTTCAAAAAACCACCCAAATGATTCAAGAAAGAGTATTTTGTGTCTGTCTGCTAGAAACACAACACATATGTCTGGCTTTTCTCCTACTTTGCTTTTCCTATATTAATTAAAAGGCTTGGTTGAAATTGTACTAGTTGGCACATATAAAACCTATTTTTTTTCTTCCTAGTTTATACAGCAAGTCCAAATGCTGATAAAAAGGCGAAGGAACCCTACTATTAGAGGTTGTCCACTCAAATTTTAGGAGTTCAAGCCAAAGCAGCAGATCCAAAATACATTCATTTTCTCCGTGGGTATGGCAAAGGTCAATGCCTCTTAAAATGAGACCAGAAATCATTAGCTTGATCACAGGGAAATATCACCTACCTGTTCTTTCCCCATCTTTGTGTCTGAAACAAAGTCCCACTAGGTATGGAACTGTGTCAGTTACAGCATTAGAAAAAGAGTAGTTTTACTGCCTAACACATTTGGATACCTATATCTATGCTTCAGTTACTAAAGAAGATGTACAGCTGGCGCATCAGTCTTTGCGTATTAAAAAATGTTACATGGCACTTACATTACAGCTGTAAAAAGTTATATTACAATCAGCAGTAATAATACTTGAAAGTCAGTAAGTATTAGGCATTTATTTCAAAGTTGATACTTACAGTCCTCCTTCTAGAAAATTACAGACATTTTCATCACGTTTTGATACTAAATGGAAAGTTTCTCTGATAATTTGTTGCTGTGTATCTTCACTCTAAGAAAGAAAACACACTTTGCTAAAAAGGACTGACAAGGCACAGCATACACAGCTAATAAACAGAACACAAAGTGTATCAGCAGCTTCAAATTATCTACTCCTGAAGGTTCAAATCTGCCAGTTAACAAGCTGCATATTGTTTTTCTCATTTCAACACAAAAAGCCATATTTACAACTTGCAGAAGAATGTATTACTGAGAAACAACTGTGGAAAAGTGATTGTTTTTAAGAAACTTCCTTAAAAAAAAATCATCTAAAAGTAGTTTCTTCAAGTAAACTAGAAGTCTTCTCAAGCAGCTGAATTTTTTGTATCTCAGCCTAAATAGCCGCAGACATGCTTTGAAACTACTTTCACCCACAAACAGAGAGGCAAACAAAGTTTCCAAAGCTTGAAGGGTGTGGGGAAGTGAAATATTCCACATTACATAATTCTTTCAGAAATAACTTAAAATACAAGGGCATAATGAGCAACAGGGTCTCCTAAGCCATGAACTTAACTATTAACAAATCAGACACATCAGTTCTGAGTTCCTCTGACTCTTCAGAAAGTTATTTTTGACATTGAAATTACAGCCACGGGTCTGTATTTTGAAAGATAAAATAATGGTACATTATCTTCCTACTTAACTGCCATAAATTATTATTTTGCTACCCAACTGCAAAATATTATTAACTTAATTTCATGTAGTTTCCATTCTCATATGTATCAGGTAAAACAGTTAGACACATTCTATAAGTTTTGGTATCATGAAGCAAACAAATACTTCTTTCACAGATCTGATCAAATAAATCTCTATAGAAAGCAGGAGACACTTCCACTTGTAGGAAAAAAGTTGAGATTTGCCTCCAGTACTGGAGGCAATTAATTAACACTAAAGAATGCACAAGTTTAAAAGGTCCATAAATGATCATGGCTAGGCTTCGTGAACGAAGATTTGAGAAGGGCTCTACCCATGCTTGCTACAAGCGCTCTGTCTTATTGAAATCCCCCACAAAAATACAAAAGGCAATTGTACCTGTTTCTGTGTACCACAAAATTTAACTCCAAAATTTCTTAATTTCAATTGCTATTCACATTCCAAGCATTCTGTTTGTACAAACATGTTACCCTACTCTAAGCACTGAGAATTTGTTCTAAGTCCATTTATGAAAGTAGTAGAGAGGAATGGTTTTACAAGAAAAATCTGGTATCCTCTGGCCATTTATTTCTCTCTTCCCTCACTTCTTCTCCCTTCCTGGACTCTTATGTAAACAACAGTAACAGAAGACAGAAAGAGTTAATTGCATTTGAATGAAAATTAGAATGGAAATAATTTAAATATTAATACAAATTTACCTTTCCAAAGTCTTTCATCTACATATTTAATTGTCAGCTGCACACTTGGGGGGGGGGGAGGGGAAGGGAGGGCAGAGGGAAAGAGGGAAAGAAAGAAACAGGGGTAAAAAAAAGAAACTTATTAAGTTACTGTAGCTCTGCAACTGAAGTTATCAAGAACAGAGTGGGGACACAAGGGGAATGCTTATCTTTATGTGCAGGTGAGAATATTCCATTCTAATTTTTAAATTTGAAATGGTAACCTAAAATCATCTACGTGGCAACTGAGAAAAAAGAAAATAGGTTCACAAAGCTCTATTAAAATTTCCCAATATTGGCTAAGAAAGGACCAAATTCAGTCATGAATAGGAATGACCTGTACCAGTTACTCTCCTTCAATTCAAAGCCTGACTGCAAACTGAAGTGTGACAGCCACCATTTCTGCTTTGAGGTGCAGAAGATACATCTGCTCCAATAAACTGTGACTTCTGTAATAGCCAGAATTGCAAGAAAGTGGCCACAAATCCAAGTAAGTAATTTCACTACTGAAAAAATAATAATTTGCTTATATAACTCGCAGAAGCACCAATTTTTCTCTCAATGCCCAAGGTCAGACCAAGCAGACCTGTGCCTATTTGCTGAGAAATACAGAATGCTCAAAACACTACATTAAAATTTCTTATCCTTGAACTAAACCAACAGTTTCCACATTGTTTCTCAGTTCCCTGAGGCTGCACTTTCCTTTCATTCAGATCAAGTGCTTTGTGCTGCATTCTCAGATCTGCTTTGCTACTTGCTTTCTCCCACGCAGAAGAATTTTTTTTTTCTATTTCACCACATTTTCATGTCAACTGTATTATTACAGCACACTGAGAGTTTCCAAAGGAAAAGGTTCTGCCCAGTGAACCTGTGAGTCCCAACAAACTCACCTCAGAGGTTCTGACCCTCTGCAACAACACAGACCCACAGCACACCTGGCTGAAAACACAGCTGCGTTCAGAACAGCAGCTCAGAGCCTGGTCTGCCACCGACCGAAACTCCCTCCCTTCACCTCTGGAGCTGTCGAAGGGCAATTCCCAGGGGGAACGCCACAGGCTGGGGGAACAGCTTTCCTCAAGGCCTCGTTCCCCCGCTCTCAGCACCTCCCCATTCCCCCCGGTGCTGCCCCGGGCCCAGCGCAGCAGGCAGGGCCGGGCCGGCCCGGGTGTCCCGGTGTGCGATCCCCGCCCGCCCCGCCCGGCCCGGCCCGGCCCCGCCCGTACATAGCGCTGGTAGAACTTGGAGAGCCGCGGCTTGCCGTGGTTGTTGAAGATGAGGATGGCTTTGATCATGGTGGGGCGGCGGCGGGGGCCGGGCCGGCTGCGCGGTGCTGTGTCCCCCTCCCTTCCTATTCCTGTTCCTGTTCCTCCTCCTCTCCTTTTCCTCCTCCTCCTCCTCCTCCTCCTCCTCTCCCTCTCCCCACGTGGCCGGGGGGGTCGCGCGCGCACCACGTGCCGGGCGGGGCGCGGCCGCTGCCGGCGGGACGGCTCGCGCCGCACGTGACGCGCCCGGCGTGCCCACGTGACGGGAAAGCAGGTGGCGCGTCGTCACTTCCCGCCGCCCGCGGAGGCGGAGCTGCCGCCCCATCATGGCGGAGGCGGAGGAGCCGCAGCAGCAGCCGCAGAGCGCCGGCCGCAGCGACGGCGGGGAGGAGGTCGCGGAGGGCGGAGCGGCGGTGGCGGGGGCCGCCGAGCCGGGCCCGCCCGCGGCCGGGTCCCCGGGCACCGAGGAGCCCGCGGGCGACGCCAAGAAGAAAAGTAATGGGGCGGGGGAGGCTGCCGGCGGGGCGGGCGGGCGGTGACGGACGGGCGCGCCGGCCAATGGGCGGCGGGGGGCGGGCGGAGCGGGCCAATGGGCGGTGTCGGGGGCGGGCCCTGTGTGACGTGCCCTCCCCGCAGTTGACGTGCTGCTGAAGGCCGTGGGCGACACCCCCATCATGAAGACCAAGAAGTGGGCGGTGGAGCGGACCCGCACCATCCAGGGCCTCGTGGACTTCATCAAGAAGTTCCTCAAGCTGATGGCCTCCGAGCAGCTGGTACGGGCGGGAGCCGGGCGGGGGCTGTCATACCCTGCAGGGACGCTGCTGGAATGGCAGGCTGCACCTTCCTTCGGGAAGCTTGTAGCAGGCGCACCAGGAGAAGTGCCCCAAGTGTAGCACTGAAGGGAGCTGTGGAAGTGCAGCCTGGGTGTGCTCAGGTCCGACCTTTGGGCTTTTTTCTCCATTTCTCGGTGTGTGATGCTGCCGGGCAGAGCTGTGTGCCCGCTGGGCAGCGCTGCATCCCAAGGAAGCATTCCTGTGCACCCTGCTCCTGCGTGAGCCAGCTACACGGGTGTGGTATCTGGAAAAATGTCAGTGTTTGTCACTGACCTGAATACAAATGTCTGTTTCCTTCAGAACGTACACCTCAAACAGTTTAATCACGGTCATAGGACAGTTTGTCTTTTAAAATGGGTAGGTGGGAAGTGCTCACAATTGGGCAGCAGATTGCCAGTATTATCCATGGGTTGCTTCCCATGGAACCCTTCTCAAGCCCAAGTGACCTTGTGATAACATTGGAAGAGCTGGAAATATGATTGCACTACTTCTGTTGTTTTACTCTTAACATCTGTAAACTTCAGAGTTTTAATTTAAGATATGAGGTTAAAGCTAGACTCCTTAAAGTAGCCAACTAAAGTGTAAATGAGATTGTTCTGTTCTTGTTCTGCAGGGTCTTCTTTAAATATGTAGCCATAAAGGATTTCACTAGCCTTCTTTTTCACCTGGAAATCTTGGCGGGTTTCCTTTTCCCAAGGCTTAGTATCTCGGAGAAGAGTGATAGTTCAGGAATTAACTGTTCGTGGATATTTTCAACAATTTGATTCAATAACTGTGATGTCATTATCTCGGGGGGGGGGAAGAAAAAAAAAAAAAAAAAAAAAGGGAGCACATAGCCTTCCTGTGTGGTTTCAGGAGCAAAACCGTAGGAATTTTGTAGCTGTTAATTGGGAATAGCACATGATGACCCACTACCTGTTGCTACCTCACATTACAGATCCAAAGGCCCTTTTTGATGCTGTGGAGTCACTATATGTGTAAATGCATTTGGAGTAGGAAGTGAGAAGGATGACGTGAAAAAAGAATAAAATAATTCTAATTGAGCAAATCTGGAATAGTGTGAATGGTTTGCATGCTTGAAATAGGAGCAAGAACTAAGCCAGTGAGTTCACTTTGTGCTTCTGTATGGGAGACTAATGGGTCAGCTGGCAGGAAAAGGAAGTCAGCACACTTGCTTTGGCTAGGTCTGGTTGGCCAGACAGAGATGACTCCTGGAAGTCATGTTGCCCCTGCACACTGAAGTGAAATAGTAATTGGGTGTGTTCTGGTGTGTGCTGTAAAGATTGTAAAAGAACTTCTGACTGTGGAATGTTTCTTCCATGTTCCTTATGAGATGTATGTGAGATCTCCATCACTTCTCTTTTGCTTTGTTGCAGTTCATATATGTAAACCAGTCTTTTGCTCCATCTCCAGACCAAGAAGTTGGGACCCTCTATGAGGTGACTTTCATCTTAAATAACCTTTCCAAATGTGTTCAGCAAGATTTGTCAGTATGCTTCCAGCGCTTGAAATCTGGTACTGCCCTTAGCAGTAATACTGTGCCTTTAACTTAGCATAGTTGATATTCACAGATGTATGTGAATATGATCTAAAGAGATTTGGCTTCACACAGCCTCTGGAAATGCATTCCTTCACATGCAGTATGGTGGCATGCCTCCTGTTACGATGGAGAGCTTTCTCACCAGTAACAATATTCCGTGACACATTTTACCTGATGGGAGGGGGTTTGCTTCATGTAGATGCTAGCCCATGGATAAATGTAACATCTCGTGTTTTTGTGTTTTCTTGCAGTGTTTTGGAAGTGATGGCAAGTTAGTGCTGCATTATTGCAAAACTCAGGCATGGGGATGAACGACAGGCAATACAGTTGTTCAGGTGTTCTCTTCAAAAAGGGAAAAAGGGACTAACTGTCTTAAACTCAACCTGTAAACACATGGCAAGAAGGATTTTTGCGTTTCTGCTTGTGCCTGTATGATGCAGGTGAATAGCATAAGCAAAAATCTGCTTAGGCTGGCTGATCACGTGGCTTCTTTCTGATGTACATCTGAGGTGCAGAAAAAACACCTGCGATCTGTAGAGTAGAGCCAGCTCTCTTGCTGCTGACTTCTTAATTGCTGTATCTGAAGGGAAGCTATTTCAGCTGTCTGGAGGATTGACTGGACACCTGTATGCTGTATTGAAGATAAAAGTACCTTTTTTTATTAAAAGTGATGTCTGTTGTACATATAGCCTGGGGTTCAGTTTACTTCTGACATGTGCGTTTGTTACGTGCATTCTGAATATGCATTATCTCGTGTCATTTCAAAACAGTATTTTTTTTTTTTCTCATGATGTGTAGGTATTGGTATATAGTCTGACTACTTTACTCTGTGCCTTCCTAGTGTTGGTAGTGTCAGCACCTCATCATTTATATGGCACAGCATGAGGATAGGCCTCAAAATACCTTCCTCCCACACTAATTGCGTAGTGATTTGGTGAAGCCTGAATGCTTCAGCAGCTGTCAAGGTGTTTCTTCTGACACTGTTTAATGACTTGTATCTTTAGTTAAATGATGCAACTAGCTGTTACATCTTCAGTTAACAGACAAATAGACATGAGGTGCTAAAAATCTATTCTATATATTCTCATTTTGTTTGGTGTAATTCTTGTGTTTCACCAGATGCATGGTCCACCAATGAAATAGAATGCACTTTACATCCTTTTGCTAAGTCATGACAGTGAGGCTTGGTTTGGGGTTTGTTTCATCATGGAGAGGTCTTGGTACCTTTACTAGGGTACTGACCTTTGCTTTTATTTGTTGGAGGGTTTGGGTATGAGAGTTGGGGGTTTTATGGGTTTATTTTAAATGTCTGTGTTACAGTCTTTAATGTTTGTTTAAGCTGACCTAAATTAAATGTTAGTTTGCTTGCATAATGTTCTTATACTGGATGAGTTTTGATCCATGACGTAATCCAGTTCTTCAGCACACACAGACAAAACAGCCTGTTCCAGTTTAAAGGGTGCTTTTACAGTAGTCTTGAACTGTTCACTGCTGTTTCATACATAACTGGCTCTTATGTGGCTCTGCAACCTGTGTGTCCACCCTCAGAGGACTTAGGGAGAACTAACACTCAGCTTACCTTCCCAGTGTTGCTGCAGTTTGCATGCAGCACACCATGTGTGCCACAGTTACACGGACACAGGCCCTGCATCCTTGCTGTGTGAATAGCTCAGTATATTTTACCATGCTTTAAGTGGAAAACCTGGATTCACTGGGTTAAGCTAACAAGGCAGAATTGGTTGTAAACTTAAAACTTCAAATAATCCATATTTTTCCCTGCTCATAACCTGGATCTCGTGAATCTCCATTTGAGAGAATTATTGCAGAGGTAAGCACTCTGATTCTGCCTTGTGGAGGAAATTGCCTGCTCAGGTACTGTGAGGACAGCACAACCTTGCCAGCCACTAGAGGGTACACAAGGACAAAGGTATTTGCATAGTTTTTCCTAGATTTTTTATTTCAGTCTTTTTCATAGCATGTCCACTTGCTGTTCTTACAAATATAAATAGTCTGTTCTCCCGTGTGACCCTATGTTTACCTAAGATAAGCTACTAGTCTGGTTCTCTTTGAAGAATGTTCTATTGGTACCTTTCACCTCACTTGATCTTAACAAATGAAACTACTGATAAACTGCAAATGTGCTCTTCAGAAGTGATGCAACAAGGTTGGGGGGTGTGTGTGTATTTGGTTGGTTGGTTTGTGTGTATTTGGGAGGGTTGTGTTTTGGTTTGGTTTTAAAATAATAAAAACACATTAAGATCTTGAAGAAGAACTGTACATCATTGTATCATGCCAGCTAAACGTAGAACATTGTGATTTATGTTGAATCTATAGATAATTTTTATTCTCTGAAGTTGAATAAAAAATTATTTGCCATGATTCCTTGAAATGTCACAGTCCAGTAATGTAAAAGCCACAGTAATGGTTTGGATTTCTTTTGTTCACCACGTGCATTTTTGGACCTGGATAACTTATTCATGAATATTTGAATTATTATTTTATTTAAGATTCATCTTGTTCCTTGAGTAATACTTACTTATTACTGCTTGCTCCAGCATTTTTTCTGCTCTTAATTTTTCTGCAATCCCATCTAATTATTTCTTGGCCCCCCCTCAATGCTCTTAAGTGGCTGTCCTTATTCTGTTCCTTTTAACAACTACCAGTTTGAGTTCTACTAATTTCCCCCATCTAACTTCTGTACCTTCTTTACAGAGACAGTGCTGCTTTTTGCCACTTTTTCCTCTAGTTTTGTACCTTCTTTCATCAGGGAGGTAGTCAGTGCTTGTTTATCTCTGGTAGCTCTTTAAGGACCATGGGCTCTCTCTGCCCGGACTTAGGGTGTGACTGTTTTAAATGGCGGAAACTTTCCCTTGTTCATAATTTTAAGTAACAGAATCGACTGCAAATATGTCAAGTAGGTAATGTGTCGAGTGAACAAATAAGTGAATCCCAGTAAGTTACTCGTAGAATTTGCAAAAGACAAAGGTTGCAAAATACATGTTAAATTTCCTCTTTTAAAAAGTGACATTATAGCATCTAAAATCACAGATGATCCTGAAATTCTTATATCTTTAAAAGTAGTATTTCCAGTAAATTGAAAACATGAAAAGCTGAAGTAGAACATGAACTGTATTTGGTATGAGCAAAAGTCATGACTATCCTTTAAGTGATCTCAATTGCTGAAGTGGGAGAAAAAGGATGTGAAAGTAAGGGCTGACTCTTGGACAAGTCTGTGAGAATTGTACAAGTCAAAAAAAAGTGTAGATGTACTCAATATTGTGTTCCACCCGAAGATGCTACAGCACTGAACTGCCAATATTTGTAATGTAATTTAATTCACTTGATTTTCTGTAACTGAATTAGCAGAAAGGGCATATTGGGAAAATTCAGTAAATAGACTAATTTTTAAAGACTGAGAAGTAAATAAAGTATTGTAGAAGAAATTTTTTATACTGTTTTTAGGAAAGACTTCACAACATCCTGATACTAAATAATAGTGCTATGCAAAATTCAGTTATCCTATTTCAAGTTAATAATCACCACGTTCAAACCCTGTAAACTGGGAGGCATTATGTATGTGTCTGCTGTAATAGTTTAGAACTAGCATTAATTATAAAATTGTAATTTGTAGCTTGAACTAATCTTAAAAGCACATGGAAAACATAAAGGAGGCAAATGAAACTAAAGTTACCTCAGGAGTGAAATCATAAAATACATAGTCATGTGACCTATGCACATGCTGATCAAATGTCATCTTTACTTTCAAGTCTCCAAAAACTACTGCTAAGACTTTAACAGAGCATGTGTCTGTTAATTATTCCCACAACATAATCTCGAATGTAGTGATCTACAGTAAATTCAAGGTGGTAGGTTGGAAATTCACACATCCATTCTTCAAAATCCTTCTCAGCTCCACCAAAGGGGCTTCTGTTTACCCATTGTTGCTATTCATGCTCATTTTGCAGATCAAATTCTGCCATTTTTTGCACAAGTTTTTGGCTTATGTTGTTCTTGACTACCCTGAAGTTGCACTTACTCTTCAGGGATGTTGTACATAGGTTATTCAAGGCATTATCATACTACATTTTCATCTTGGAGATGAAGGGGAAAAAAAAAGGTACAAAAATGCCTTCAACTCTGGGGTTTTCATGATGATTATGACTATTACAAGCTTGTATAAAATGCAACGTGCATTAAAAGATAAGTGTTTTCAGCCTGGTTTTGTATTGGATCATCAAGAGAAGAAAAACACTTGACAAGAAAACATGTAAAATGTGTTTCTTTTTTGCAGAGACCATGCTTCAGCTTTGCTAGCACCATATTTATTATGTTTCCAAGGATAAACATTATGAAAATCAACATATTTTTCTTGTCCCTGCTTTGCTCTTGCTTCAATAGCCATAATGCCTTGAGATGTCAGGTGCATCTCACTGTATTTTAGTCAGAAGTCTTTTGAAGCTAAAATATTTAGAGGGGCAAAAACTTATTTAGAGATTGTTTCATTGTAAAATGAAAGGTTAAGAAAGGTTGAATGAATCAGCTATTGACTAAGGAGAGACCAAAATAAGTATGTTAAAGGCTTAATGTCAAGCCTGTCACACTACATCTATGTCACTAGACTTGGTAGTGCCAGGAGATTTTCTGGGGCACTGTAGCTCAGTCATCTGTACAGTTAATTGTTAGAACAGTTGCTGGCACAGATTTTGGCCTGTGCACAATTCAAGAGTTGGCAAGGTACCACTCCTGGTGGGCACTTTGGACGTGATCAGCCTGCTATGGAGCTTAAAAGGTAAATAATGTGGATGTGAACTGTCCTTTGCAAGCTGACCTCTGTGCCAGGGATCAGTCCTTGGAGTACTTGTTGCTAGGTACACAGTGCTGATTTCAGATGGGATTTAATCCCTGCTATGCACATTGAGAAAAATTAAACTTTGGGAAGAAAAGCAATTGTCACTCTTTAAACTTCAGGAGCAATCTAGGAACTTTTTTTGAATGGTTCTTGAGTTTTCCTCAATGCAATTGCCTCTAAATACCTACCAATAGCTACATTCAGCAACATTTTTTATTAAGGATGCAGATTATAGATGGTGATGAAGTACTACCTGTACATCTAAATTCACTCATACTTTTCTTTATTAAAAGTAGATGATGAACATTCTTTAAAAAAAAAAAAAAGTAAGGGTAAGAGTCTTAGCAATCTTGCTTTGTGTCATCCTACGGAATATTTCCACGTGCAAATTATTTATATATGTCTGTATATCAATTAAACTTGAGACAATACAGTGTTAAAATGTAGTTCCATTGAGGGTCTAATCTTGAAAAAAAGGAGGCTGGAGTTACATGTTCCAATTGCAAAAATCCACTGCAAGTATATGACATTAAAGCAGACAAAATTGTCTTTCCCTCAAGCTCAGTTTGGTAACAGAACTAATAACCCTAGCAACTCTGGGGAACTAAAACACGTTAAGAGCCCTTTAGCTCTGAAACAGGAAACCTCAAGGGAAAAAAGGGCTCCAAACAAAACTACACAGTAAGTATTGCCAGTGCAGTGAAGGCTAGCCAGCACTTTAACTTTCTCATATAAATATCACAACTGAAAGAAACAGGAACTCATTTTCAAGTGTTTTTCTCATGGAGAGAAATGTCAATGTTTTATATTTTATTTATAGGTGTGCATGGTGCACTAATGTCCCAGCAAAAGTGAATCAAACTGATTTCCTCTAAGAGTCCTTTCTGTGCTTTGTGGTTTAATGCTTCACAGCTCTTCACCACATTGTTTGGTTTGTCGTTTTTTAGTTTTTTACTTTAGCAGTGCACATGCCATTTAGTAGTTGTAGGTATTTTCAATGTATGGCATGAGTTTGTATGTGGTGTCCTCATTTTAATCATGGATTACTGCATGTTTTCAGTCTGATGATGTTTCACTGCATGATATTTGATACAGTTTCTTCTCAAGCTTTTCTTGAGAATTGTAGTGCCTGCGGCAGCTTGGGCAGCAAGATTTGTAAAGTGCCGAGGGATCAATCTCACTTTTTAGGTTATGTGACTGAGGAACAGCTGCACTGCTACATTGAATCATGGCTATGTAGAGTCACATGGCCCCAAAACTTGCCCTACAGCTGTTGATCCAGATTTTCTCTTTAAAAAGCCATCTCTACAATCGTAAAAGACTTAGGTGAACGGAGACTAAATAAAGGAGTGATTTAGTAAAAGGGTAAAAGCCATTCTGTCTGGAGGAGGAGACTTAAAATACTCATTATTGGATTGAAGTGCTATTATCTGGCCAGGCTAACAGACCAAAGAGACACAGCATAGTTGCTTGCCACAAGAGTGTGGTCAGAGACCAGAAGATCCCACTTTCAGCCAGCCCACAACATTTATTTGGAGTTACAAGATGTATAATAAAGTCTTCAGTCACAAGCTACATATTTGGGCCCAATATATGGTGCAAAGTTTTTAATGCTAGAGTTCCTTAATTCCATCAGTCTTAATTGAAGTGAGAGAAAAAAAAGTGTGAGAAAAACCTGTTGAGCTGTACCCCAATAGGAGATGCGCCAGTATGTATTTGGGTGCTTCACCTGGCAAGTCTGTCTTGGGGTTAGATGTCATGCCAATGATTGCTAGATCTGCTTACACCTGTCTTCTGGGTAACAGTGGAGTGGTTTGGCATTTGTACATAAAGCAAAGGTTTTGTGATTAAAGCCCAAACTCCCATTTTCCAAGACAATGTTTTAATAGGACAGTTCAGAAATACCTGCAACAGTTAATTTCTACTAAAGCTGCACTATCATCATTTTCAAACTGACTAATGCCCTGGCAGAGGACAGGCCAATCTGGATATCTATTAAGTTTTCACGGAGGAGATTATGATCTTTATTTATACCCAGTTTAGACTTCTGAAATTCTGATGTATTCTTAGCAGTTCCTGCTTGAGAGTAAGCAAAATCAGAGTCAGGTGTGGAGTGTGCAGCTGCACCAGTCTCTTTTAGATAATTAGGAAGTTCATGGTATATATATGATTTCCAGCAATAAAAGTGCATAAAATCCTGCACACTCCTTTATAATGTGAAAACAAGTTCCATGCTGTGTGGATTATAATCCTCTCTTCTTATTTTAAATTTTCAGTGACTGCTGTATGTGCTCAGATCCTTGTGCCATTTCTGTCGATGGGTTATTAACAAAAGCTGTAGGGACATGAATGTTGTTCCTTATGGTGTTCATGCAGTCAAGTAATCAACTCCTATAGAACTTCTGAGGACCAACAAGTAATGTTGAATGATTGAAAATGAAAATCTAAACACTTTTGAATAGGAGCAAATAAAATTACAGCAATATAGATGAGCTGTAATAAACAGCAGCAGTTTGTAACTGCAATAAGCAGATCCAGCCTAATCCCGTAGTTGTAACAGAAGATATGAAATATCCTTTTGCTTTTACAAGTGGTATTTGACAGCATGGCTAATGATCCATCAATGTTGTGGCAAAGGAATCAAAGTACTAAGGCTTCAGGGCTTAACAGCAGAGGCATAATTCTCTTTTTCCCCTACATCTAAATACCAGAGAAATAGCACCAAGCACATAGGTGTACAAATAAGCAGAGAGATATTATAACTGCTGAAAAATAATTTACATTGGATCCTGAGAATATCAGAATAAAACAAAATATTTGAAAACATACCTCACCATTCATTTCAGCACCCATTTTGATGATCCTTAAAACAACTCACTCTTGTAAGACATTCTGTTCCTTTTGGGTGGTGCTTCTGACAACCACGAAAATAATATGAATTCTGCCTTTGAAATAAATTACATAGATCAATGCCAGGGTATCCTGGTTGCTTTTTAGAGATTTTGGGTAGTCTTAGGTTCTCTCAGACCTTTGAAAATCTGCTTGAAATTATCACAGTTGTCTTCCCTCTCTCTGTCTCTCTCACACACACACACCTATAAGGTAGGGTCTGATTTCTGTGTGCCAAGAGAAGTTTCGGAGTGATGGCTGACAGTGGACCTATTCAGTACATTCAGTCATATTCAGTGTGCTAGGTCCCTGCCCCTTTTAAAATTGGCAAAGTATTCCTAAACTTTGTAGCTTCAGAGCTACAGCAGCCCACACCACCAATCTGCTTACTTCCAGCTCCACAATCAGCAGGCAGACCTAAAGAGCTGAACTTTTTTTTTTTTTTTTTTTTTTAATGGAAAGGAAAGATGGATTTTCTTAAAACCCAGTTCTATGGTGTATAGTGAATTCTATTGCCCGAATTCATGACTAATAAGCATTCTAGTAAGTGGAAAGGAAGATCGCTGGCATGGCATCTGCTGCCATGGTTTGACAGAGTGAGGGCTGCAAGGACCGTCTGTTTTCTTAGCATGGCCTTTTGTCCCGTTCACTGTTTCTAGATGTCACTCTGACTGCTAGTGGTCACGGCAGCTCTAAATGTGATTCCGGAGTGCCCTGGCTTTCAAGAAACAGCGCTTTCAACGGGCAGGCTGTCTGTGGGAAACCTCCGGCAGCAATTTTCTGTGTGATTCAAATAGCTGTGTGCCTTGTTTTGCTTTTCAATGGAGCTCCTAGATGTATTGCTCAAATCAACCTGTGGTGTAAGCAATGGAGGCAGCGGCAGGCTTCGTAAGCCGCAGACCTTGTCGAGAAGGGATGAAGAGGCCTGGCTGGGAGAGAGAGAGATGCTTTCCGCACGGCAGCGACAGCCCCTTCTCCCGTTCCTCCTGCCGGGGACACGGGATCGCCGGGCGCCTGCCGGCCCGACCAAGCCCGCTCCGCCCGGGCAGCAGCGCGGGCAGTGCGAGCAGCCTGTGCCGCCGCCGCCCCCTCTGCCCCCGCCCGCCGGGGTCGGTGGCCGCGCTCCCGGGGACGGGGACGGGCGCGTTGGCCGCGGGCCCGCCCGCCGGGGCGGTGTAGGCTCCCGCCGTGCCTCCCGGCGCATAAAGGCAGGCGGCGGGGGCCGGGCAGGGGCAGCGGCTGGCGGCGGCACGGCAGCGACCGGCGGCGATGGAGCAGCCGGTGCAGACCGAGATGTGGAAGGCGCGGAGCCTGGAGGAGCTGGTCCGCATCCTCCACCAGATATTCGCCGAGGACAAAGTCAGCGTGGAGGAGGTGCAGGCGCTGATGGAGTCATACGAGAGCAATCCCGAGGAGTGGCTGAAATACGCCAAATTCGACCAGTACAGGTACAGAACAGCACGGAACGCGGAGCCCCCCGGGCCCCCCAGACGGTGCCGGCGGCGGGGCAGAGCCGCGGTCGGGCACCGGGGAGCAGCAGGGCGGACAAGCTCAGCCGGCAGCCCCTCCGAGGGGGCGAAGGGCAGAGGCCCCGGGCCGGGGGAGCGGGGGGCGCACGCCGGAGCCGGGAGGCGGCGGGGGCGGGGAGCGGGCAGGGCGGCCGCGGCCAATGGCGGCACCGGCGGCACGGCCGGGCGGCGGCACCGGGACCCGGCACTGGGGACGCGGGCCCGCACCCGGGGACCCGGCTCCGCACCGGCCCCGCACCGGCCCCGCACCGACCCCGGCTGCTCCCGGCTGCGGTCCTGCCCCGGGCACCGCCGGGGCGCGGGGATGTCCCGAGAGAGAAAGAGAAGCGTGCCTAAGCAACCAGAATAGACGAATAAATACTTAAGTAAAGAGGGGGAAGAACCCGGGAGAAACACATCAGCGGCGCAGGTGTTGCGCCGATACTTGGGAGGGGGCGCAGCGACCAGCGCAAAGTGGGTGTTGAGTGTCCGTGGCTGCGTGTCCTGCCCTACCGGGCCCTCGTGCTCCGGTCTCGTCTTTCTGCGGCGTAATGCAGGTCAAGTCTTTTTGCTGCTCAACAGTAGGAAGGAAAATACACATTAGGGTTTTAACTCTGTCCGACTTTGTTAACAACTGATTTATTCCTGTCATTGTTGGCTTCTCTGTATTAAATGACAGGATAAATGCATTTTGTTCGAGTGTTTCCCTAAAAAAAAAAAAAAAAAAAAAAGAAAAAGAAAAAACTACCAAGCAACCAAAAGCCAAACATACAACCCTCACCCCAAAACTTTTCCTTTTTAACCCTGCTATTATGCAAGCATCATTCTGGCTTGACTTTTCTTTAGCCTCCTTTCACCTCGTTTTGACCACCCTCCATTCAGGACAAATCTTGAGATTTGTAACAGAACATAGGAAACTAAGCATCAGGAAAAACAAGTGTGTTAACCATAGAAGAATACATGGTAACATTTATTTATTTGTTTGTTTGTTTGTTTATTTATAGCCTGCCAGAGCTTCTGTACAGAAAAAAAAAAGACCTTGAAAAGTTCAGTCAAATGCTAGCATTGACTGCTTGTGTTCTGACATCATAGAAAAAATATGTCTACCTGATATTTACACAGATTGTGGATGTAGTGAGAGGCAGTGTATAAACATACATGTTATGCTTTGGAAGTAGTTTGTTGTGAGCAAAATAGAGTCGTCTTATGGGGATGCTAATTTGAAAGCATTCAGCTGATATCAGTGCACTTTCTGTGTGCCCTTGCTTACATCTTTCAGGAGAGGCTGAGGCATTCCATCATCCACATAAATATTTTCTTTGCTTGGCAAAGTGAAGTGCAAATAGTCATGATTACAGCTAAATTGAAATTTGAAGGTCCCACTACATTACTTGTACCATATCAGCTGGAAGCGCCTGCCTCAGATCAAAAGAGCCACACTGTGGAAAGTAATGTATAGAGCAAAATCCAAGTTCTTTATCCAGTGACCTTTTCAATTGAACAACATGAGCAGCAGCTTAGGGGAGGCTTGCAGGAGAGAATAAAGGAACAAACATAAGGGGTTTTTTAAAGAAATTTTGCTCTGATAAACTTTGTTTAGAAGTAGATGCTAGCAAAAGTTCCCTCACAGGTGCTTTATCCACACAAAAATACTATAGTACAAGAAATGGAACTTTCAGGAACAGAGTGAGAGGACCATGTACAGGAAGCCTGACATCTTCATTCTTCAGTTTTTTTGGCTTTGTACAAAAGAGTGCTGTGTAACAGAAGGAAAGCCAAGAACACCAGAAAAGGAGCTGCAGAAGAATGTAACTATGTATTTTTCTTGTTTCATTGCAGTCCTCTGTTTCTAATTATAAGCCAGCTGCTGAAGTGACTTCATTCAATAACTATTTTGATTTGATCCTGTCTACTACTTTAGTCTCAGACTCACGGTTCCCAAACTCCAATCATCTATGTAACTCAAAAGAAATATGATTCTGAAATATTTTATATGTACTTCTTTCTCCTTCCTAGAAAAACAATTCTTACAAAACAAAACAAAACAAGTTAGAAATACAATTTCATTGTTTTCTAAGTAAAAATTGGATTTCAAGAACAAAAAAAGAAAAGGTATTTTTATATGTCACAATCCTTTTTTCACGAACTTATTTGTATGATTTTGTCTTTTATAGGCATATCGGCACACTAAAGAGCAAACACTTTGTATTTCAGGTATACAAGAAATCTTGTGGACAGTGGAAATGGAAAGTTCAACTTGATGATCTTGTGCTGGGGTGAAGGGCATGGCAGGTTTGTATTCAATGACTATGGTTTTAGCAAACGTATAAATCCACCATGTCTTTCACTGTCACACAAAATAGAGAAACATAATCAGCCTTTTGGGAGTTATCAGAAGGTGTCTGGAAACTAAGCAGTGCAGAGCTCCTATTGGTATAGCAGTCCTGAATATATGCTGTACCTTTTGGAAGTTCTCTCATGTTATTTAAATCTGCCTCTGTGACAAGATCAGAAAAATAAATCTGGGTTAGGACTGCAGATGGTGAGGAGGGAGCCCCTTTTCAGAAGTATTTGGCTTTCTTCAGGTTCACGTATCCTATCTCCTCCTTCAAAACAGACATACTGCTGATGTGGCCTCTTGAGTTGTGTACACAGATTGTACACTTGCTTGTGTAGTCCTACACAGTGTGAGGGCAGGGTCTGTCTCTTGGAGGGTCTTTCATGGAGTGTTGGCTAAAGCAAAATAGGGAACAACAAAATTTGTGTGTTTTGACTGGATATTCTTACTTCTAAACAGAAAACCTAAGGAGATGTTGGAACGGTTTTTTTGTTTGCTGCAGTTGAACATTTACAGTATGCTTTAGGAGATGCCATATCGTCATACTCAGAGGGATATAGGAACCGAGCCCACCACCTCTACTCCTCCCAGGCTATTCCCATAAAGCCTGTAATTTGTGTCAAACTGTGTTTGAGTTGGATGAGAATTTGCTAGAGCTAGACTGAGACCACTAGTTGTTATTGCTTCCTACATGAAGAGGATCAGATTTTCTCATGGTTTGTGGAAGGATCATGACAACGCAGCATTTGTGATCTGTTCTATGCCTGAAGCAAGCTCTGGTCTCTTGGCATCTCAGTTTGTAACAAATCCCATTGTTTGTTTACCAGAAACAGTAATGTACTAGTACCAAGTTTTTCAATGAAACTCATTCCAGGACAATCAAATTTCCTCTTCTTCCTTGCCCTTGATGAGTGAAGAGCTCTTCATTTGTCATAATCCCATTGACTTCTATAACAGTCAGTCCAGTATTTAAAAGAAAAAAAAAAGCCCAAACCAAACTACATATCTAGCCCATATACGGTCTCTAAATACAGTAATTAAAACACACTTCAGAGCAAGAAGATAGATCAAGTAAGCAAACAAATCAGATCCTGTTGGTTTTTCATGCCTTGCCAGGAAAATAAACAGGTTAGTGTAGCGGGTTGTACTTAGTACTATCAGAGTGAGAAGTACAGCATTTTTTTCTTCAACAATGTCTGTGCACCCCAGCAGTAAAGGGACCATATAGCTCATTTCTTCATGGTTTTGGAGCAAATATCAGGTGTACTTGCAAGTTTATACCACCCTCTGCCTGGGATCATGGTGGAAGACTCATTTTGTTTCTTGGTGCAGAAGAGTTTTTGTGTTCTGAAGAAATTTTCAGTCCTACTCCTTCCCCCAGACCTTCTTTGTATTTCTTTGTGTCAAAGTCTTGGTTTGATCAACATGTGGCTATTCTTCTAATCCTACTGTATGCAAGCTTATCTCAATACATTTCTAAAGTAGCAGTTTTAAGTAGGCATACCTTAATGCATGACCCATGTGCAGTGGAATTTCATTCTAAGGCTTCTGTCCAAGTACAGTGTGCTATGTCATCTGTCCTGTTTGTTTTACTGAAATTAAATAAGTGTACCACACTGAGTTTGGTTATTCTTTTTACGTATATAGCAGCATCCATGATCACACTGACTCACACTGCTTTATGAAGATCCTCCAGGGAAATCTAAAGGAGACTCTGTTTGAATGGCCTGAGAAAAAAGGGAATGGTGAAATGACTAAGAAATCAGAACGTGTTTTGAGGGAAAATCAATGTGCCTACATTAATGGTAAGCTATTAAGCTTGTTTTGGCAACTACCTATCATGAGTCCTATTCCTAAAAGAAGAGTTCATCTGCCCTCTAGTCTCCTACCTTTAACAGTATAATACTTTATGCAGAGTTTAAGAATGTGACTCTCTAGATTCTGCACAAACCTGTACTTAGATTCAGTAAAACAACCACAACAAAAATGTTGTTTTAACTCACTCTTAAGGCATTGCAGTAATTGCCTGATTCTCTAATATGCTGGACATCTCATCTAGATGAAGCAGCCTTTCATCATCATGCTTCTAATGACTATCTGAAATTTCTTACAAACATAGACTTTGAATAGTATTTTCTAAGAAATAAGAGAACAAGAGTTTAGAGAGCTTAAGTGCCTTGCTTTTTTTTCCCAAAGAAATAATCTTTTCCCACAGTCATGGAAGATCTATGTCAAAAATGTAAAACCTGTGTAAAATAAATTGATAAGCCACGAGCAGAGGCTCCCATTCTCAATGCTACTTCTTTTCCAAATCAACAAAAGACTGTAGTGCTTAAGTGCAGTGTCAGTGGAATTGAAATTCTCAATCTACAAAAAATTTGTCTGATTATACAGGTGTTGAGAATGATGAGGATCCCACCAGTAAGTCTGCCTAGGTTCCTAAATCCATGCCATCACATATATCTGTAGCTATTACCACCCTGTGTTATGCTGGAGGTCAACCTGGAGTAGCCACCTGGGTGTAATATATTCTGGTGCTATGAAAGACACTGCACATCATACTGAACAGCAATGAGTTCAACAGAACATCAGCAAAGAGGGTCATCTGCCTTTTATGTCATGGGTTAAACACTGGAGGACACACTTTGTGGGGTTGAGTTTGGGAACTTCCCAGTTGGAGTTAGCCAGGGTGAAGGTATTGGGGAAAAAAGACTGGTGTTCTGCAGGCCTCTGTTGAAGGTATACCACATTAAGTGCACACAATCAGTAGGACAGGAAATGCAAGAAGGATCTTGACACATCTGCTGATGTTCCCATGGCAGGGACATGGGTTCTCAAAGTCCATCAGGTTTTCTTACCTATGCAGTTCTTTTCAATGCAAACAACTACACACTGAGTGTGTCTGATCCAAAGCTTCCTTGGTTGTTTTTAAAATTTGATATTCAGTTCTCTGAGGCAGTTTGGATCTCTGCCATGTTTCATAACAGATGTTTTGGTTTAAACATAATGTGTTAAACAAGCAGAAGAAAAACACTGACAGTGTTTTGATCACCATAACTACATCAATAGTAAATGCCTTCATGTTTCTATTGCATGCTTCTTGGTTGGTGTTGAACTTACATGTTAGAACCCACTAAACTCTCTTTATTTGGGTTCCCCAATGACGAGCACAGATTTAGGACTTTCCCCCCCAAACTGCATCCTCTATTTAGATAAAGTATGTTAACAACACTTAGGGCTTACCTTTCAAATGTATCAGAGTTCAGAGTGCACTAATGACTCTCAGGGTATCAAGACTATGTTGCACAATATAGGTCTAGGTATTACATAAAAAATTCAAGTACAAAAGCCTGAGTTGTTTTTACAACAGGATCATAAACCTAAATTCAAAGTCTCTTTTAAGTAACTCAAAACCTCCACTTCAGCATAGAATGGAAGTCCTTTTTTTTCACGGATGTGAGTCTTCATACCTTATATTGATTTCTACTCCACCAACGCAGTAACCACACAAAATACAGTGCCTCATTTTGCTGCATCTTCAACTATGTTTACTATTCAGTTATGATTAGAAGTATGACAGTCACTACTAATTTGTCACCTTATCCAAAAGAACAAATTAAAAGCTTGTTCTCCAAACCAATAAACTGAGAGGATTAATTAGGAAACAGTTGCCTGCAGTAGAAGATGACTGTACCCCTGTGCATAAGTCCATGCCCCCAAATGCATGCAGCTATTTTACTGTGACTGATATCCATCTTACTTGGGTAAAAATTAGCAATACAAAGGCTTTTTTCCCCATAAAATGTCTTATTAATTTTTAGAAACACAAACCTTCCTGCTTCTGAAGCATCTATATCAACAGCTCTCCTAGAGTGGTAAATGAAGTCCCTTGGAAATGAGAGCTAGAAAATTACTGACAGCATGGTCTTCCTTAAGTTTCTTAGGATTCCTATTAGCCTTTATCCTGTGGTGGATAATCTAGAACTGTGGAAGGTGGTAACTCACTGGGAATTATCAGTATATTTGGAAATATGTGCTAGAGAACAGGAGTCAAATTCCCTGTAGTGAGTTACTTGTTGCCCATAAAAGTGCGGGCATGCTTAATTGCTCATGAGTTTCAGTTTTTCAGGCAATTAAGGTCTCCTTAGATCTTCCTGCTAACACAATTTCTCATTCCATGCCCTGGCTGGTGTAGACTCTATCGGCCTGCACCGCGTGGAGAACATAAGCCACACGGAGACTGCCGTTAGCCTGCACTTGTACAGCCCACCCTATGACACCTGTAACACCTTTGATCAGAGGACTGGACACAAGCACAAAGTCACAATGACCTTCTACAGCCAGTATGGGGAAAGGACTGTCTGTGTAAGTATGACATAACACTCTCCTCACCTAGAACTGGGCTCTAAGCCCCAGCAGGGACAGTGCCAGGGCTGCCCTCCCGCCTGCACAGGGCAGGGCGCTAGTGCCCCAGGACAGGTAGGGAGTCCAGCAGCTCTGCCCTTCATGAGGCATCCCCATTTAGGACCAGCATAAAACCTGTTTCCAAGTACAGTTTGATTTGTCAGTTTGCACTTCCCATGTGTGTAGTTCCCTGCTTTGTAGCTTACCTCCCCTTTGTCATCAGGAGATCAGTTCTGAGCAGAGAGGAGGATTAATGAGAAGTTTACTGTTAGCTAAGCATCTTCAGGCAGCAAATGACTGTAAATGCAACCTAGTCAATGGAAAACTGTGAAATAGCTATGTTGTTTTGGACAGCTCTGCCAAAGGTGAAGCATCACATTTCAAGTCAGAGGTTTTAAACCTTATAGCTTACTGTAAAGTAAAGAATTCTCTAATAAATGTGATTCTTTAAAATCACAGCTTTCACACAGTAAGATTTGTTCTGAAAGAGAGAGGAGGCTGGTTGCTGTCTGCATTCTTAGGCAATGGCATGAAATTTTATTTGGACGGGAAAGAAATCTTAAGGTTTTTGGGGTGACCAAGCTAGGACATCTGGGAGAGGTTAACAGGATTCCTTTCAGCATTATTCCATGCATTGGGAAACATAACCACTTATAGAAAGGACTGATTCCTGATGTTCAGCCACAGAGGTTCTAAAACTGTTTTGTTAGATTCTAAACACTTTCATCTTCCATTGAAGCCAGAAATTCAGTGTTCAGGAGTTTTCTAGAGTGAGTCCTTAGTAAGATCCAGTTAAAGTTCTATACAGTTAACAAGTACCATGTAAATTATTTCTTTGAAGCCTATCACATTACCAAACAGCTGAAATACAGATTTTGACCTTTCAGAGTTTGAAAGGTCTTTGAGAAAGTAAACCTGAATTTATAACTCAGATCTTAAAGATTAATTATTGTGGGAAAATGTTGAACAGAATTAATGCAAGGATTTAGTGTTTGCTTGCTTATTTTTTGTTTTAAGTCTTTATTGAATATGAAGTATATAAGAAAATGAGACTAGATGTTTTGACTTGGACTGTTTTTCTACTCTGATCTTAACCATCTGGCACTGTTTGTACCTTTTGTGGGAAACTGGATCTGGCTTACAGGAAAGAGGTAAATACTAATCACTGGGTCTCTTTCATGAGTTCCTGTAAATGGAATTCCAGTAAGGGAGAAAGTGGTAGCAAGACTGGGCCATCCCGCTACCTGAAATTACTTCATTCTGCAAAACCCTTCTGATCTCAGTGACTTAGTTTTTTGGAAAACTGACTGGAAAAGCAAACTTTCTTCTGCTTCCCAGATCACAAAAGGACATGGGAAGACAGAGAGCTATAAATTAAAAGATACTTGGAGACTAATGTCGTATGTGTATTGTATAGTGTGTAATGTGTAATGTGTATCTTTTATGAGTGAGGAGATCTGCCTATTTCCTTTTAGGCAACAGCAGTGCCACAGGAGAACAACTGAGAAGCACCAGCATGCATTTGCCTAAGACCTGCTGAATCTTTAACCAGGGACAGAAGACTTGCATGGCTAAGGTCGACAGCCAGATATATTTTGATACCTTGTACCTTGAAGAGTACAGTAGGGCAGCTTCCAGGCCACCTGCAGTTTCCTTGAGCAAATGCCAATTATGGGACACTAAGCTCACTAGTGCCATAACCTACTTCAGCGGTTAGATGCCTTGTCTTAGGCTTCTGTCAGAATTTAGTAGTTTGTTTTCTAATTCTAGCCTCTTTTTAACTGCACTTTTGATATCACACTGAGAATATCAGAAATAGGATTTTTAAACATCATCTGACACTTCTCAATAGACCTATGGGTATGTGTGCTCTCAATGTAATTAGTAACTATATAAACTTCTAAGCTTCCAGTCACTTGTACCTATGTACACTAGATACAACTAACAGCAGCTTTATTTTAATCAAGTCTTTTATGTTTTAATGCTCTAAACCATCTTGATAGTTTTGTGTGTTTTTTATTTTTATTTTTTACAATTTAATTTTCAGATCTTGTTTTAAATAGGAGCAGAGAAGTGCTTCATGCACAATGATTTTCAAATTGATTGCACAGAGATTTTCTTTTAACAAGACTAATCATACTTATTTCAGCTAATGTCCAGTTCCCAAAGTATTCTGTATAGTTAATGAAGAAGAAAACTGAAATAAAACTGGATTTGAAACAAATTTCAGTGTTTCAGCATTTTTCTCCTGGTGACTAAAATATTTATAACTACCAAAACCCACATTCCTCATGAACATCTAGATCTTTTCCAAGCAATACACTATTAGAAAAGACTTTAAAAAGCTGAAAGTATTTCAACCATGCAAGGAATCCTGACTCCAATTAAGTTGGTGGGAGTTCTGCCACTGAGTTTGCTGATGCTTAATTTTATCCTCCAGATTTAGTCAGAAGGAAAGAACCATCTTGAAAGGAGTTAACTCTAATTAAACACATCAAAATCAGCAGAGCTGCCTGCACCGAGGGTATCCCATTCGTTTATTGAACCTAATAACATATGACAAGTAGAGAATGTGTGGAATTCTTGTAGTCTTATAGGCAACTGCTGGTTACTCAGAGACTGCACTTTAAATTTTATCCGTATTGGTTTTAGGTGAGCCACATATTTCCCTCTGTATTGACAAGCCCAGAAAATATTTACTTTATGAGACCCCATTTCCAAGGAGGCTGTGCAAATTTTCAAGGAGTGTTTGAGCAGTGTAACAGTTTTGGATGAACCTATACCTTACTGTGAGAGTGTCACAGCATCAGAGATGAGCTGAGACTGGCAGTCTAGCACCCTGCTCATGCAGGGTCTCTTACAGCAGGTTGCTCAGGACTACATCCAATTGGGCTCTGAGTATCTACAAGGACTGAAGCACTGCAGCCTCTCTTGGCAAACCCTTCCAGTGTTTTACCACCCTCTTAGTAAAAAAACCTTACGTTTAATTGCCCCCATTACCTCTTGTTCTCTTCATCCTTCTCACAGAAAATTAGCAGTTTCATTCAACTAACTTAAAATATAGCATATTCATCAGGTTTTTGCTTGCTAGGAAATATTAAAGAACAAATCCAATAGCTTGCAGACTACATGTTCAGTCAGGTCAGGGGAATGGAAAGGGGAATGAAAAAATCAGAGAGACAGCCAAGAAGCACAGTGATGACAGCAGCTAGATGTACCATAGATACAGAATCCCAGCTAGTATTCCAGCTAGCCACACATACACCTAGCGAGACAGAGAAAACACAGGTAGAAATAATAACAAAACTCTACCCAAGTTGTCCCAAACACTGTTTAACTATAGTAAACATGGCATCACACATTGCATAGAATAATACAGGAATTTCAGTGTTTCAGAAGAAGGTACTTACCCAGTACTTATGTCCTCCACACCAGAAACATATGGGGGGTAGCCTGCCCAACATAAAAAGTACAAATACAGGAAACCTTGGGAGAAATATCTAATTGGTTCCAGAATCCACAGAACGTGCACCACCTTTGCTACTTCTTATGCACTAGCTGTGTATCAAGAGCTCTGAACAGCACAAACATAGAGGTAATACCTACCAAAAGCAAAATTTAATCAACAAATATCAAATGATATAATGAGACATGGAATCACTTTTTCACTTACACAAATATGTTCATATAACTTGTGCTGGTGCAAACATAGAAACCAGTTAATAGCAAAGTAGTATTTGCACAGTCAAGTTAAGCTATTAAACTTAGCATATGAATGTACTTGAGCTTTGCACCACTGTTAACTGGCCATCTGATGAGGTAGAAATGTGCTGTAAGATGACAATTAGCTTTCATTGGGCAATGAACAGATGTTTAGCATTTCATGTGCTTTCATCTGGGAAGGTGCTATTGAGAAGCATCTCTGTAAATTGAAGAGAATTTAACATTTACCTAGGTTACAACTAAGATACTTAAATGATAAGAAATACTGCTTCAAACCATTCAGGCTAGTAACAGCAGGAGGAACTCAGTCTATATATAATTTGGTTCATTAACCAAGACATAAGGAGGCAAAGTAATGCCAGGAGTGGAATGAAGTGCAATATTTACAAGAATTCAGCAAATTGCAAGGGTTTGGTGGTTTTGTTTTTGTTTTGAGAGTCGTTATTAGAAATTTTGCCAGAAAAGAAGTTGTTTATCAAAGACATGTTTTACGTGGGAAGGCTCTCTAGTAAAAAATCACCTGGAAGGCATATGCCATATGCAAAGGAAAAGATGACAACAAGGACTCCTCAGGAATGGAAATATTATCCCTGCCTGTATGTCTGTGACGAGGACTAGATTCACTGAAATTTCAGGTTATGGTCTGGGAGAGTTTCACATACATATAACCAGCAAGTCAGCAGCTCTTTTTCTTCACACACTGAGATGGGGGATCTCTAATGCCTTCAACAGGACTTGTTGCTCAGAGAGGGTCCTTTGCTGAGTAAACATCATTTTTTTAATGTTCTTGTAGACAACTGAGCCTAGAGTTACTTTGTGTCTAACTCAACACAAAATCTTGGCATGCACAAATCAGTTCAATTTGTTATTTAAGCCTAGGTAACGGTTGAGTCTCTTGATGCATTGTTCATCATCACCCCTTGTCGATGTATAGAAGAACACATCACAATCAAAATCCACCTTAAATGTAACCCCTCTTCCATTACAGGTTTGTTTTTTTTTTTTATTAAACCACAAAGATACAAGATGTGCTGCTCACTAGCTAATCCCTATAATTATTTTTTTCACACTCTTCTCATGACAAAGAGAAAGCTGTCTTGCAAGAACAGAGACTTCCCGAGGGTAAAAGAGGTGACCTGCCACAGTGACTCTATTTGCAGAGACGAGCAGAACGAATCAAGCAGAAGGTCAGTGCTTTTCAACCATACTATATGCTCTGCTCTTGCCAGTTTAGCTCATGAAAGACTTTGCTGTCCTTGAATATTAGTCTTATGTTCCATGAATGGAGAGTAGCTCCATCGACTCTATCTGGTAAGGGTAGCAAAATCACCATGGAGCAACTCTTCAAGACTATTCCTGTCACCTGTAGCTCCTATGAAGCTTTATTCAATAATTTTATCTCAAATCTTTGAACCCTGTGGGTACTTAACACTATATTGTATTTCTTCAGGGACGAATGGCCACCAAAAATAGGAATAGACAAATTCTTGTTACCTAGCTGATCTTTCACGCATGCCACATAAGAGACATTTGAGGGCTTTTTTAACAAGTAATGAGATGTCTTATGCCTTTTGCAAATCTGTTTCCTGTCTGCTTTTACTCTCCAATTCACTAAAAACCTTTGGTATAGATAGATGAGGGTATTATTTTATCTTAAAACTTAAGCTCTTGACCTCTAAGGTATACCTCCTTCCTGTCTCATTGCAGGCTGAGAAGAACACATGATATTAAAATCAACTCTATTTGCACTTCACTTCCCAGTAGGAAAAAATTCTTTTCTGAATCACCAAGATAAAGTGTCTGTGCTGTTCACTGACTCCTGTTTAGGGTTATTTTTCATGCCTATTCTACTCCTTCAGGCTCCTGTGCTCTCTTGTAGGTTCTGTTTAGCTAATTGGTTGACCTATGGCCAGTGGTGGTGCAGAATATTTTAAAACATGATGATTACATGTGAATTAATGTATTTCTTAGGATAAGAAACTTCATTAACCTGCTTCTTTAATTCATAAAGATTAGAGGAATGACATAAGAGGATTGTGTAGCACATGCTACTCTTATCTGGCCAGTTTCCCTGAGATTCACATGAATCACAAAGTTAGCATGAGAAAAACATATTCCCTGACCAGAAAGCAAAACTTCAGCTGCAAAAGACAGCTATATCCTGTTCTCTGCTACCAGTCAGAATTCAGTATCTGTGGGTTTTCATTTTTGTTTGGTTTTTAAATCACATTCTGAATGCAAAGTGTTTGATTTTCATTGTAAGTCACTTACAAGTCAAACTCTGAGAGCCACAGCCAGAAAAATAAACTTCCTCTTCTCTACCCAGCAAAAAAAATGTCCCTGCAACACATTAGCTGTTTGCAATGAGCACTTGATCAAATTGCCGAAAAATGTTTCTTCCCTTGTTTAAAACCAAATGCAGCTACACAGCTTTGCCCTTAAGAGAATTGCAAAACAGTTGTGTGAGTGCTTGGAGCCAGGTGCAGAGATCTCCTGTTGATCACTCACTCAGTGCATGGCCCTGAAAGCGCACGTCCCAGGCATAAGGACGGGTGACTCTGAGGAGCAGAAACAGCTCTGGATGTTAAAGAACTATTCTGTAAATGCTGAGGCTCTGTTACCACTGCAAAGATTAAGTTCATTTGAGGTCTGGTTACATGTGGTTATAGAAGATATGGTTTTAACCTTTCATTGGACTATTGAAAAAAACCTTCTGGGAGGCACTCAGACCTATGGCATATAGCTATTCTTCTGTCATAACCAGGGCTCTGAATGGGCCTAGGATTGCTGTTATGAGAATATTTACCAAGCATATTCATAGGGAGAAAACCAGCATTTGTAAAAGCTTGCTTCAAGAGAAATGTGGACAATAGTCCTATTTAAACTTAAATGCTGGAGGAAGCCTTATAATCTTTTCAGGCTAGATCTTTATGTAATACAGGTTGGAATAGCAAGCCATTGTCAGCTGACTTACGATGTTTTACATTGATTGAAACAGCCTTTACTAGTGAGTGCTTGATTCTGGTTACATTTATCACCTGAGACTTCAAGCTGTGTTCCTCCCTGAACATCGTTACTGATGAGTGAAGAGGTACTGCTTGGGAAAAGCTTTGACAGCCAGTGTTGCATGTTCAGCAGGAGTCTCCAGATAATGGGCAAATGTGAGAGGAAAATCTTCATCCTGCATCACTGTATCAGTTAAAACAAATAGCATGCCTCTCTGCTTTTGCACTTCACCTTGTTGCTTCATTGCAATGTAAACACAGATTAAGGAGGTCCTTTAATTTGTTGTACCTACTTTGGGGTTTTGATACCTTGCAAAAATAAAAACCTTGGGTTGGCCCCTGCTCTGTTGGCATAAAGCATGGAAAAAAACCAGTTTAATTCATCTTAAGCTTAAGACTTCCAAACTTGGCATTTTTGTTGACATAGTAGTTAAGGCATTTTGCAAAGCAGTGCAATATTCCAATTGTAAAATTTTTCAAACCAGGTAGGAAAACA